ATGTCTTAATCCAAGATAAAAAAAAAACTGTCATATAAACAGTTTTTGCTGTCAAACATGAAATGTTCAGCATTGGCAGCTCCACATATAAAGAAAAGAAGAAATATTCTGACATGCTTCATGGACAATGTTTGTTTCATCAGAAGAGTTTATGTTTTCTGTACATCATAACGCGGTAACAGCACCATTTTAAAAAGACAAGGTTTCTTACTAGCCCATCCAAGGCCCACTTATATTGACCTTGCGTGCACTCCATGGGAGTGGCTATATAAAAACTCAGTGATTCTAGGTATATGGGAACATGTGGCCTTTCACAAGTTGCAGTACTTGGGCCTAGCGAATCATCCCCAGACCATCCCCAGTAAGGTTTGACACACAGCTTACATGGGATTTGGACAGTAGAGAAATGTGGTACAGGCCCCCTGAATGGGCAAAACAACAAAGTCTATTTTAAACGCTCCATAAAATAAACTTGTGCCAAGATAAATGCCTATTCCAAGAACACCCAGGCCCTGTTCACAGCTCTGCATTTTAGACGAGTTAAAAAAAGCCCCAACTGCAGCATCTTTGACGTGTTTTCATCAAAACACATATTATATAGGGTTCACTGTCATCGCCCCCCCCAAAACACATGTAAAGTGCACCTAACACACAACATACCTAAAATGCTCTGCACAGAAGTGAACTGGAACCAAGGTTGCAAAAATGTTAACTCATTGGATGTCATGCCAACCTTCTAACTTTTTATACTTTAAACTATTTAAGTGGAATAAGCATATAGATGAGAGGTTCTGACGACACTTGCTGCATAAATGTTCAAGGAAAGTAGTTCAGACAATATTTAAACCATTGGATCTACACGGCAGTCAAACAAATAGTATTGTAAGATGGAGATCAACAATGACATATTCGTATTTTTCTCACCATAGGTTTCCTTTAACTGCTCAGGAAATATATGAGCGGGTCACCCACTTGACATATCATAGTTTCAATCACTTTGAAGGTTGCAAAAACTAATATATATATATATATATATATATATATATATATATATATATATATAATAAAAAGACTATACTATAAAAAAAAAAAAAAACATTTTTAGAAATCAGGGAATCATTAAATTGGTTATATTTTTATATGAAAAGGCATATTGGTGGTTAGACAGATATTTCAAGTATGGGATCCTTCTGAGAAGCAGCAAAAACTATATCAGTCCAAACTAACAACCACATGGAGCTTCACTGATTGGTAATCATAGACAGAATAAATCAAATAATCATGTCTTATTGAATTCCCATTAAAACATTTGTGACAACATAGCTCTCAAAACTCAGCATAAAAAAATATAGAAAATGTACATGTGTTAAACCAGCATGCTATAACTATTTTTGCAGTGAGATTTTCTCAGGAAGTCGGCACTTTCTGCATTGCCATAACTGGCAAGCCAAGGCTTTAGTCTGAGGACTCTACTGTGAGAGCAGCTAGAAGGCAGTTCTGCATCGGTTGTTTTAGTAATTTAAAGAACCTTTTGCCACCATCATTTAAAACAAACCATTTCACCATGGTAAACAAATTGCACTGTAATCAATAAAACAATACTGCTATCAAGATAAGTAGAATTAATTCATTGTTAATTTTCACGGAGCTCTTCATTGGTATTCACCCTGATGCCTGGCTCAGTCTGTTCCACGGCTTACACTTGTTCAGTAATGATTCTATTATTTTTCTCAGAAAAGCTGGTCTTGAGCTGTGACTTGTTATTAAACATACTGAACAAAAAAAATAAAACTTGGTACTTCACTCCTGTGTATACAACCTTGATTAACATTCTTGGGTGAACCTGCCAGGCCAGCCGTTACTTCACAGGGCCAAGATATGGTTTTGTTTTGATGCAAGTACATTAGTATGCTGGATTCTACACCGGTCTACTCTGCCCCAGGACTAGCACTGCAGAAATTGGTTTGAAAAGAAACAAAATCTGAGGGTACAGGATTATAGACTTTGTTCTACGAGACAGAAGTACACAACTATTTCATATATTTCACAGACAAGTGTAAGCACAAGTTCACTAGTACTCCAAAAAGGGGCAATATCCTGTTTCTCCTACTAGAGAGCAGTCCACAAATATTGTACAGATTTCATAGATGAGTGAACGAACAAGATCATAAGTGCTCATCTCTAAAAATCCTGCTTTTTCTACTAGAGAGAGGTACACAGATATTATACATATTTCATACATGAGTGAAAGAACAATATCACTAGTGCTGCTCTCCAACAAGATGGGCAATAACCAAATCAAAAGGAGATATAGGAAATCAAGAGGACATCAATCTTTGTGGCAATCCAAAATTAAGTGATTTGTGGATCTGTGTAGCCTTCTTCAGAACGGATTAATGAACCATAGATTGTATAAGTTGCAAGAAAAAAATATTACCCATGGGCACCCCCTCCCCCCACACTTGTTGTTTTTAAAGACAAAAATACAGTAAGTGCTTTAACCACTTCCACGCCGCTCTATAGCAGAAATACTGCTACAGGGTAGCACAGGTGTGCAAAATCACATATATATTGTCTGAGCTATGAGTGGTGTGACCCTCCTGCGCTCCAAATGTGTGTTTAAAACAAACTAAATTAATATGAACCCCAAACAGCTGCTAGCATTAAATCATATACCAGTGATCAAGTAAACCATATAAATGCTGCGCTACATTCAAAAAATTTAAGTGAATTGGAATCCAAAACTCAAATAATATAGTGACAATAATATTGAAAATGAATAATTATGTGCTTAATGATAACAAAATTACCAAATAAACCACCCAAACTGATGAAAAAGCACAAACTTAAATCTATACGTATGTGCATGAGAAATACACATACATATATTACATCACACGTGCACAATGTGAAGTGAAATGATGACTAAAATAATAAACGCAAACTCAAAGTCCAATAATGAAATGTTGAAGGTGAACAAAACTGTAAACGGTGTATTCAATAATACTGTAAGGTGACCACAAGTGAAACAAATCGTGCAGATATCTGGGTGTAGATAGAGCTTGTGAATCCAACCCACCTTCTGGATTACCTCTCACCTCATCACTTCGACCCTTGCGGGTCAAAGAGCAGTAATGGACTCTCACAGATCCTCCAGGCACCACAGCACTCCAAAACCACTTTTCAGGATTTAGTATTCCCACTCAGGCTGCTTTCCAAGTATAGGTGAAATATCAATTTCTCAGAACACAAAAGAGGAATCCTCCCATAGTGTAGTTGTTTATTATACCATAGGAACAAAAAAAACTTTGGTAAAATTGCACTTACGTAGCAGCCAGTCCACATAAGACCCTCATGCTCTCAGATGAGGATATATCTATGTTTGTTGGGTGTACAGCTGAATAAACAGGTGTACCAAGATGGCCGCCACGCCGGAAATACGTCACCAGCGCTACGCCGACGCGTTACGTCACAATATCACGTGACTTCATCAGGGCTCGATGATGAAGTCACGTGATATTGTGACGTAACGCGTCGGCGTAGCGGTGGTGACGTATTTCCGGCGTGGCGGCCATCTTGGTACACCTGTTTATTCAGCTGTACACCCAACAAACATAGATATATCCTCATCTGAGAGCATGAGGGTCTTATGTGGACTGGCTGCTACGTAAGTGCAATTTTACCAAAGTTTTTTATGTTCCTATGGTATAATAAACATACTACACTATGGGAGGATTCCTCTTTTGTGTTCTGAGAAATTGATATTTCACCTATACTTGGAGAAGAGCCTGAGTGGGAATACTAAATCCTGAAAAGTGGTTTTGGAGTGCTGTGGTGCCTGAAGGATCTGTGAGAGGGATCCATTACCGCTCTTTGACCCGCAAGGGTCGAAGTGATGAGGTGAGAGGCTAATCCAGAAGTTGGTTGGATTCACAAGCTCTATCTACACCCAGATATCTGCACGATTTGTTTCACTTGTGGTCACCTTACAGTATTATTGAATACACCGTTTACAGTTTTGTTCACCTTCAACATTTCATTATTGGACTTTGAGTTTGCGTTTATTATTTAGTCATCATTTCACTTCACATTGTGCACGTGTGATGTAATATATGTATGTGTATTTCTCATGCACATACGTATAGATTTAAGTTTGTGCTTTTTCATCAGTTTGGGTGGTTTATTTGGTAATTTTGTTATCATTAAGCACATATTATTCATTTTCAATATTATTGTCACTATATTGATTTGAGTTATTGGATTCCACATTCACTTAAATTAGTTTGAATGTAGCGCAGCATTTATATGGTTTATATTGTCTGAGCTGATTTCCTTGAACATTTATACAAAAATAAAAAAAATTAAAAAGTACAAATCCCGCCAAAAATTTAAAATTTTAAAAAACAAAAATAGTTATAGTTTTATTGTTGCTGTCATTGTTGTTACTGCTACTGTTACAATTTTGCTGTTTTATTGTTACTGTTTTATTGTTAACCATTGCCGTTTTCTGCCATTCAGCGGCAGCACCGACCTGTTTATTCTGACAGCAACAGGAACTCGCTCTCAGAATATACATAAGTCTGTGTGGGCAGTGCTGTTGGATGAGATTTTTCATCCACCGTTTAAAAAAAAAAAAAAAAAAAAAAAGAGCATATATGATGAAGCATGGGGACCTGGGGTAGCCAGTGGGTGGATGGCCCCTAAGCTTCGACATATATATTTTTATAATATTTTGTGTGTGGATGTAGGGTGGTATATTCTAATGGTGGGCATACCACATACTTTTTCTGGCAGACATTTTTCGTTCAGCCCACAGGCTACATTAAAAAAAAAAAAAAAAACCAAAACATAGCATATACCATATTTTTTGCTCCATAAGACACACCTGACCATAAAAGACGCACCTAGGTTTTAGAGGAGAAAAACAAAAAAAAAAAATATTCTGAACCAATGGACTGCAGACACACAGTACAGGAGATGACCAGAGACTGCGGACACAGTACAGGAGATGACCAGAGACTGCGGACACAGTACAGGAGATGACCAGAGACTGCGGACACAGTACAGGAGATGACCAGAGACTGCGGACACAGGACAGGAGATGACCAGAGACTGTGGACACAGTACAGGAGATGACCAGAGACTGCGGACACAGTACAGGAGATGACCAGAGACTGTGGACACAGTACAGGGAGATGACCAGAGACTGTGGACACAGTACAGGAGATGACCAGAGACTGCGGACATAGGACAGGAGATGACCAGAGACTGCGGACATAGGACAGGAGATGACCAGAGACTGCAGACATAGGACAGGAGATGACCAGAGACTGTGGACACAGTACAGGGAGATGACCAGAGACTGCGGACACAGTACAGGGGATGACCAGAGACTACGGACACAGTACAGGGGATGGCCAGAGACTACGGACACGGTACAGGGGATGGCCAGAGACTGTGGACACGGTACAGGAGATGGCCAGAGACTGCGGACACGGTACAGGAGATGGCCAGAGACTGCGGACACGGTACAGGAGATGGCCAGAGACTGCGGACACACGGTACAGGAGATGGCCAGAGACTGCGGACACGGTACAGGAGATGGCCAGAGACTGCGGACACAGTACAGGGAATGACCAGAGACTGTGGACACGGTACAGGAGATGACTAGAGACTGCGGACACAGTACAGAAGACCAGAGACTGCAGACAGTGCAGGGGATGACCAGAGACTGCAGACAGTACAGGAAATGACCATAGATTGCAGACAGTAAAGGAGATTACCAGAGACTGTGGACCTTTGGGGAGGGAGGGGGAGCGGGTACCTGAATTTGACAGGTACCTGCTCCCACTTCCGCGGAGTTGTCCTTCCTTCTTCCCACGGCGGCTTCTATGTCAGCCGGGTGCCCACTGCGCATGCGCGAGTAGCGCTGCGCTTTGTGAATGGCCCAAAGCCTTCTGGGACCTGTCATGTGTCCCAGAAAACGCCGGACCATTCACAAAGCGCGGCGCTTCTCGCGCATGCGCAGTGGGCACCCGGCTGTCACAGAAGCCGCTGTGGGAAGACTGCAGCGCTGGAGCGAGGAATAGGTAAGGTCCTGCAGGAGAGAAGAGCTAAGCGGGCCGGCCCGATATTCTGACATGGTGGCGGCAGAAATACCGGACCGGCCGCTTTACATTCGCTCCATAAGACGCACTGACATTTTCCCCCCTTTTTTTGGGGGGAAAAAAGTGCGTCTTATGGAGAGAAAAATACGGTATACCCAACAAGGACCAGCGACGTACTGGTACATCACTGGACTTTGAGTGGTTATACAGCTACAGGCATCTTCCTGGTATAAAATTTTTTCAGTTGGCGATCGGCTTTCATGTAAAAGCAATCATAGTGGCTAACTAGCTGCAGGATTGCTTTTACAAGCAGCGGGAGAAGATGACCCTCCTCCCCCGCTGCCTTCCACGGCCTTCTTGGGCAGTCCCGTGCCATTGGGGGAACCTGAAAATGCAGCTGGTGTTTCTGCCAGCTGACAATAGAGCTGATTGGAGACTGGAATGGTGCCAACCATCTCTATAGTCTAAGAAATCGGAGGCTACGAGCATTTCATCACTTCAGTTTCGCAGGATATAAACAGCGCCATTTGTAAATTGGGAAAGCATCTGATCACACCAATCTTGGTGAAATTAGATAATGTAAGGGCAGAGGAGATATCTAGAGTCTGATAGATCACAGATTTCTCAAAAAAGAATATGCCCATTGAAGTTATAGGGGATATTTGCATTCCCTGTGATAGCATTAAAAGTGATTAAAAAAAAAAAATAAGGGACAGTGTAAAAATAATTTTAAAAAATCAAATAAACGTACAAAAAAAAAAAAAAAAGCACCCTCGCCCCCCCTGCATTCGCGAGCGTTGACCCCATGCCAGTATGCTAACAGCGATTGCACAATGCATGTGAGGTATCTCCACGAACGTCAGATCAAGGGCAGTAATTTTAGCACTAAACCTTTGCTATAAATCTAAAATGGTAGCTTGTAGAGGCTTTTAAAGTGTTGCCTATGGATATTAAAAATGTATGCAGTTTGTCGATATTGCACGGGGCACATGCAGTTTTAAAACATGTCATGTTTGATATCTATTTACACGGCATACCATCATCTTTTATATTTTACCAAATAATTGGCCAACATATTGTGTTTTTGTGCATGAAAAGTAAAAAAAAGTTTATTTTTATTTTCAAAATAATTGCGTTTGAAAAATCGCTGCGCGAGTACTAAGTGACATAAAAAATTGCAGCACCCACCATTTTATTCACTAGGGTGTCTACTTTAAAAAAAATATATAATGTTTTGGGGTTCAAAGTAATTTCCTAGCAAAAAATACAGATTTCTTTTTCATGTGAACAAAGTGTCAGAAAAGGCTTGGTCTTCAGGTGGTTAGAAGAGTGAGTGATGTGTGGCATAAACTTCTAATGCTGGGCATAAAATGCCCCCACCTCCCAAAATGACCTCTTTGTGGTAAGTAGACACCCCAAACTATTTGCTGAGAGGCATGTTGAGTCAATATAGAGAATTATTTTTTTTACCGTATTTTTTCGTTTGGGTACAGCATTGTATGAATGCGCAACTACCAGTTGAAATAGTGCAGTGCCGAATAGCAAAAAAAAGGCCTGGTCAGGAAGGGGGAAATCCTCAGGAGGGCAAGTGGTTAAAGGATAAGTTCACGTTTCATAACAACATGCTACACCCAAATTCAGGGTATAACATTAACATATTATGATCAGACTTGCCCCTGCTCCGACAGCTAGTGGAGGATCTTCTCCCCCCCCCCCCCCCCCCGCTAGATGTCAAATTTTAAAAACCGTGGCTGTGCATGGCTCCGCCCACCTGACCGCATCACTCATTCACTGTGTTCTCTGAATGAGAAACGATAAGTTCCTACAGCCTTAGCAGCTGTTGGCTTGTAGTTCCCAACAAACTACCAAGGCACTGTGGAGTGCTGTGGTAGTTCATTGACTCTTCCTGTCAGTATATCGGCTTGCTCATACATCCTGTATGGGCAAGCAGATATACTGACATGTCTGCATAGCACCAGCGATCTGCTGATCACTGGTGCAATGCTTTACAGTCTCCTGCAACAAAAATAATACCTGCAAGAAAATGTGTATTTATTATTTTTTGTATAACGGTGAATGTTTCCTTTAATGTTTCCCCCAACCCATCTCAGTAAAGCCCAAATAGTTTAATGCTTACCTTACATCCCAGGGATGTTTACTTTGTGGCCCTGTCTGGTGGCAATCAGCTTGTACAACAAAGACCTGCATCTGTGTCCAGCTCCTGTTGCACAGAAGTGCCACTGTGCATTCAATCCTATGGCAAGTCTGTCATATTGGTGGCTCCTAGCCATGCCCTAGCCATCCAAAGGTGTATGTACTGAACCATAGGAATGAATGGGACAAATGTTGCACATGCCCAGTAAGAGCTGGACACAGCAGAGGATTTTATTGTAATGGCTGTGTGGTGCCAAACTGGACAGCACCCTAAAAAATTTCAGGACTGGGGATGAAGGCAAGGTATTTAACTAAGTTTGCTTCACTGAGAAGGTAGGGGGAGACTTTAAAGGATAAGTTCACCTTTTAACAAAAAATAATAAATGCACAATTTGTTTGCAGGGAAAAAAATGTGCTTTTATTATTTGTCCTTTGTGGAACTACTAAAGCATTGCACCAGCAATCAGCAGATTGCTGGTACCATGCAGGTCTCCCCCTGACCTGTCCGTATATCTACTTTCTTGTACATCTTGTACGAGCAAGCAGATACTACTGACAGGAAGGCTCAATGAACTACCACGTTGCTGTGGAGCGCCGTGATGGTTCACTTGAAACTACAAGACGCCAGCCGCAAAGGCTGCCGGGACATGTATTCCATTAATTCACAGAATACTGAATGAATCAAGCAGCTGCGGTATTGTTTAAAAAATGACTAGCATGGGGAACTTCTCCCCTTACTGCTATCATACGGTGGGGTGGGGGGGTAATAGGGTGGCTGCAGGATCGGGAACATGTTACATGTTCTACCCTAAAAACAGTTGTTTTTTCCCATTCACAGGATACTGTGAATGAGTGATACGGCCACGTAGGTGGAGTCCCGCTCCGCCGCGTCTTTTTTTAATTTGACAGCTAGTGAGGGGGGAGAAGATTCCCCAATAGCTGTCACAGCAGGGATCGGGGAGGGGTGGGAGCTAGTCTGATCGTAACATGTTACACCCTAAATATGGGTGTAACATGTAACAAAAGGTGAACTTATCCTTTAAAGAACACTTCGCTAGTAAGTTGTCAACAGAACAAATCTACCCAATGGAAAGTTTCCCCTGTTTATTTTTTATTTTTGCTCTGGTGAAAACTTACAATTCTGCATTTCATTCACTTTCTGTTCTGAAGATGATGGTCACCAGAACAAACAGAGTGAGGATATCTCTGGGGGCACAAATAGCAATAAAAAAAAAAAAAAAAAAAAACTCCCTTTATGCCTTCCCAGCTCTATCCACTCCACCAAATAAAAAATACTTCAGATGCACTTTAATACACAAACGAATAAACCAACCTTTATACAATGCTAGAGTATTCAATAGCATATTTTACTAGCAAATGCTCAATGGAAATCAAATTGTTTTTTCGAACTAAACAAAAACAGAATGAGTGAATTTGCCTGGCTTTAAAAGGATAAGTTCACCTCATTTTTTTGCAAGTAAAAAAATTTTTAATTTATAATTTATTTTTTTTTGTAGTAGCAGCCTGTAAAGCATTGCACCAGCGATCAACAGATTGCTGGTGCCATACAGGCCTCCTTCACACTGTCAGTGTATCCGCTTGCTCGTATATCCCATACGGGCAAACCGATACTTCTGACAAGAAGACTTAAAACTACCATAGTGCGTACAGCATTGTGGTAGTCCATTGAGAAATACAAGCCGACAGCCACTAAGGCTGCTGGGACTTGTAGTCCATTCATTCACAAAATACTGAATGAATGATGCAGCTGTGTGGGCGGAGCCTCGCATGGCCACGCTGTTTTAAAAAAATGGCAGCTAGTACGGGGAACTTCTCCCCTTACTGCTGTCACAAGGTGGGGAAATCAAGCGGTGGCTGCAGGATCGAGAACATGTTACATGTTTCACCCTAAAAACAGGTGGAACATGTAACATGTTCCCACAGGTGAATTTATTCTTTAAATTTGCAGGGGTTTAGGGAATCCTGTTTGAAATTCTGTGAACCCAAAACTTAGCAGTGGGTCCTATAAAACCTGTTAGTAAATGATGGTCATTTTTAGGGCTGAAAATGTGTACAATGGCAACACCTATTCAGTGTGAAATTGATTCTTTCTTCTTTTACAATTAGCTTGGCTTATACACAACAGCAGCCCCCCCCCACCTGATTAATTTCGGTTTAAAAAAGTTTTTTTTTCTCAGGTAGTTTTTAGCAGCCACACACGCTTTCTTTAACGTGTTAAATGTTTTAGTGATGTTTATATAGTTAGTTGGGACCAAGCTATCCAAACAAGCTAATTACTTCAGAGGCAGCAGCTGTGTGCACTGTATAAACTGTATGTAGTCTCAGCTACAAACAGTTATGTGTTCTGGCAGTGCAATGGGAACAGAATCCCACATTTTATGGACAATTCCA